TCAATACCAAAATCCTGCTTGAAAAGCAAGGACATATTTATCTTTAATTTAATGAACTTATTACCACTTCTAGGTAATAATTCATTTCAAGTAAATTCCAACAGCAATTAATGCACATCCATGCAGCAACTAAAGGTACAAAATCCCAAATTTCATCACTCATATTCATTTATTCTGAAGCATGGAAATTAAAGCACAACACATAATAAATCACAAGCAAGATGTTCTAATTTCGAAATAATAGCAAACCGATTCCGAAAATTCCCAAATTAAATCCTAGAGTTCCTAACTGATCCAAATTTTAATTTCTGAAATTATTTTAAATTTTCATAAAGTTTCGAATTTTCTTGGAATTAAAACTAGAAAATTCCCTTTTCCTTAAAAAAAAATCCACAACTCTAATATAAGCTTAATTACTTTGAAACATTTATAAAGAAAACTTTTTCCCTATTTAATACTTGCTGGAAAAACATTCCAAAATAAAAAAAAATGAATTTTTTTCGGAAATTACAGATTTGACCCCAAAATTTCAAGATTTACACATGTAACCACACTAAAAGTTCAAAATCCATTTTTTCATGAAAAATCCCTAACAATCTGAAAGTTTACTTTATTAAGTGCAGAAAACAAAGTTGAAAAGTTACTTGAGGCAGAAATTTACATATTTTACCCCAAAATCTCTAGATCTATACATGCAAGACCACTAGAAGTTCAAAAATCAATTTTTCTTGCAAAACCTTTTTAAATCTGAAATTTTGGTTCAATAAATGCTGAAAAACAGATTTGAAAACATATTTAGGACTGACTTCTCAACAATTACAGATTTGACCCATCAATCTTAAGATCTACACATGCAACCCCATAAGAGTTCAAAATTTCATTTTTCTTGCAACCCCTTTTTGAAATCCGAAATTTTTAATGCTTTTGGCCAATAAAACTTGTATCTACCCACTATCAACACAAATGATGCATGCAAGAACAATAAATCAACACTCAACACATTTTTTTTTTATTTTTTCCCCAAAAAGCTCTAATTTTTCGAAATCACTCCAAATATTTTAAGAAATTTTGAAAATCATTTTAATACTATTGATGCCTCCTAATTACAGCAAGAAATCAGAATTTCTTACCGTAAAATCGAAGAGAATAAACCAACCGAGAGAAGAGATGCATTCAAACACCGAAATCTAGCCAAGCTACTTTGATTGTGAATGAGATGGTGTGATGATACGATCCACACAAGCTCAAAGATGAAGAATTGGAAGAAGAGAAAGGGAGTGAGATTAATGGAGCTGTTCTTGTTGGAGTTGAAGAGTAAAGGCTTGAATCAGGCCTTTGAAGAGTCGTTGTTGAGGAATTGGAAGAAAAGGAAGAGAAGAATTCGTTGGACAAGTCATTCCATGCATCCGAGATTCTCGCCTATTCTGGCAGAGTTTACTATTCGAGTTATAACTCTCGGATCTGAAGTCCATTTAAGCTGATTCAAAATGATTCGGAAAGCTAACTGAAAGATCTACAACTTTTATGTTTTGAGCGAAGAGATACTCGAAGTGGAACAGTGCAGAAATTGAGCTTTAATTGCACGCACGTGCACAGCCCAATGTCGCGAGTTAAAAGGGTGATCGAGAAGTCGACTTGAAGATCAAGTTATTTATTTTACTTATTCACGTTTTGAATTTATGATTTATTATGTTTTTATTATTTTAGACTATTTTATGGTTAGGATTTGCTTATTTATAAGTTTCCTTATTATAGATTAGGTAGGAGTCCTTTTCCTTGTGAAAAATGAGTCTTTTTAGATCTTATAAATAGGTTGCCAATTTGGCTTATTTTATGGGACGAATTTTGATGATTTAATTGAGAATATTCTCTTTGGTTCTTTAATAACTCTTCGAACATATTGGTGGATTCCGTTTGTCGACTTATCAATCGATCTTTCACAATCGATTGTGGCGTCTTCACATACCAAGGTTCTTGCCTCTTTATAGGCAAGGGGTCGCGGTTCCACCCCTTTTGAATCTTTGTTTTTTTTTGTTTTCGATCTTGCTTCCGCGTAAGGTATTAGGGTCTCGTAACAAGTTCTACGGGGTTCGTATCATGTGAGCTTTTAAGAGAGATGTATTATTATCTCCCTTAAGTAGGCAAGAAGTCTTGATGGTGTTTTTGGTGTAGTCTGATGTGATCCCAATCACATCAAGAAATTAGAGATATCAAAGGTTTTCGGGCTGTTATATTCATTGTAGATTAAAACATAAGAAGCATGAAGTGGACTAATTCAAGCATTGAGGCCCAACTTGAGTCCGAATCCAGCACAAGGTTATCTACATTCCAAATGAGATCAAGTCAAATTTAAGAGAGATCAATTACAAAGATATCAATCCTTATATGCTCTAATTGATGCAATCAGATTACTGAAGAGGTTTGGTATCAATTAAGGTTGATTTGATTATCTAATTTATTGCTGATTAGATTGATTGATTAGCATTTCCATTTTAGTATTTTATTTTTATAGATTAGAGAAGATTGTACCCTATATAAAGGGATCAGCTTGTATGAATAAACAAGCTGATTTCGAAAAAAACAAATAGCGTCAGACTAAGCAATATGTCAAGCAAGCTAATAAGGGGCGCAATAAAGTTTTCTTTGAACCAGGAGATTGGGTATGGCTACATATGAGAAAGGATCGGTTCCCTCAACAAAGAAGATCTAAACTTCTTCCAAGGGGTGATGAACCATTTCAAGTGGTAGAACGTATCAATGACAATGCCTACAAACTTGAACTACCTGGTGAGTATGGTGTTAGTACTAGCTTTAATGTTTCTGACTTATCTCCATTTGATGTATTAGGTGATGCAGATTTGAGGACAAATCCTTCTCAAGAAGGGGAGAATGATGCAAATGGAACCATAAGAGACGAAATCCACCAAGAGCCACTAAGCTTGCCAAATGGACCAATCACAAGGCTTAGAGCCAAGCGTTTCAAGGAAGCATTATATGGGCTGATTCAAGAAGAAGTTGAGATGGCAAAAAATTGGAGGCCAAACATGAGTTCAAATCCATGTACAAGCCTATTCGCAATTCAAATGGACCCAAATCAGATTGAAGGGAAGTCAATCACAAAGATATCAGTTGGTATTCAGAGCCTTGGTTTCAAAGGCAAGTTTCAAGTTATCTTGTAATTTCATATTTTTTTGCTCAAAGAAAGCAACAAAAAAAAAAAGAAAAGAGAAAACAAAAACGAAAAAAAAAGAAGAAAAGAAAAAGAAAAAAAAAAGAAAAAGAAAAAAAAAAGAAAAAAAAGGAAAAAAAAAAGGAAAGAAAATATCTGCGTTATCTTCAATATGGTATCTTTATTCTTGTTCTCATAGATTTCCATATTCTTTAGCATTTATCTCTATAGAGATTACTTGCGTCTCTTAGGACGTTAATTCTTGATTCTTGTGATTTGTTTGATTGATTCTCACTTTGAATTGCTATTTGATTCTCTATTGTTCTTGAGTTCAATTAAGAGTGAAAAGAAGATACAACGAGCGGAAAAAGAAGATACAATGTATTGAAATCTTTTTGATTAAGAGTGTGTCTATTCGGTTCTTCGAGAACCATTATTTTTAAATGAACTTATCGGAGTTGTTCTCCGTGGCGTTCGCCCCTGACTTATCAATCAATCTTCCACAATTGATTGTGGCGTCTTCGCATACCAAGGTTCTTGTCTCTTTATAGGCAATGGGTCGAGGTTCCACCCAATTGAATTCTTCTTAGGACGGTCCAGGATTTGAAATCCGAAGTATTGATACCGGGTCTCGTCACGATGTTGGTGTGGTTCGTATCATAGTCTATAGCAAGGGTTAAATAGGCGACCTTCATTTTTTATTTTGGAATTTTCTTGGAAATTTGGGGGTTTAGGTGGAAGAAGAGGAAGCCGATCGTGGAGGTGATGGCTTCGGTGGAGATGGGGAGTGAAGATAAGTAAGGAGAGTATGTGGAAGAAGAAGGAGAAATGAGGGTATCTTTTGGGCTTTCTTTGAGTGTGGGATTAGAGAATTAATTAGTGTGTGCGAAAAGACATGCAAATTAACAATAATTTATTTATTAAAAATAAACTCAACTTGCACACTACACACACAATCCGGACATATATATATACATGTACATACCTATATATATACTCAATTATATATATATATATATATATATATATATATATATATATATATATATATATATATATATATATATAAATATATATATATAATTATACTCATACTTGATGATATACCTAAATGGGCCGGCCCAATGGGCCCTCAAATTTATCTACTAATTAGGCCCATTACACGAAAGCCCAAACAACTTCAATGTAAGGCTTGGGCCCAACAAAGTAAGCTCAACCTAATCACCAATATATAAATAGATGCTTTACTCATTTGTCAAGGTACGTTATGATTATTGACTATCGATCTAGAGTTTTATTCTCTCAATATATCTCCATGATGGGAGCAAACGTTCCCAATGCGATACCAGCGCCAGCTCCACCTATAATGCCACCTGTGGCCCCACCGCCAATCCAGAATCAAATAAGTGTCTCTTCCTCTACCTCGAACCCACGGTCCCGAGTGCAGCTATCTACTAATCACCGAGGGGCACAGCTCAGACAACAACGTCATCACTCACCCCCACGGGGGCATGCGTCACCACAGAGAGTCCCTCTCTTTAATGAGGGAGAAGGCGAGGTAAACAGCAGAATGTCTCGCCAAAATCTTTTCCCCCACCCAAATAATCCAATGGGTGAAAGAATACCTGTCCCAATAAGACGCAGTCCCTTCACCATAGACATCGTCAACGAGGTATTACCTCAAGGAGTAAAGATCTCGAGGTTACCTCAATTTGAAGGAACCACCGACCCACAGAAGCATATAGAGAAATTCAGCGCCATGGCAGATTTATATGGCCCAACGGATGCTGCGATGTGCAAAATGTTCCGCACCACTCTCTCCAAGAGAGCAATGAATTGGTTCAACTCTCTACCCATAGGGTCCATTAACACCTTCGCTCGGCTATCTACTCGGTTCACCAACCAATTCGCCATCAACAAGCAGTATGCCAAGACCCCAGCTCACCTTTTCTCTGTAGTACAGAGAGATAACGAAACGCTCTGCAACTACATTAAGCGTTTCGTAGAAGCCGTCCATGAAGTTCCCAGTGTAGGGCAAGACATGCTCTCCGGGATTATGCAGCAAAACCTGAAACCGGGTAGATTCAAAGAATCTATCGCCGGAAGACCCCCAGGCAATCTAGAGGAGTTACTGAATCGAGCTGAAAAGTACGTCCGGATAGAGGAAGCCTCTACCCATGCTCCTCCTCAAAGGACAAGGGAAGATGACCGTCAGGACAATAGGAGGCGGGATGATCGACGTCCACCACTTCCACCTCAAGGTTAACCATCTTCCTCCTACAACAGATTCGCTCCGCTAAACGCTCGCCTCACTGAAATTCTTCACGTGATAGAACATAAAGGTCTAGCAGAGCCTCCACGTCCTATGCAGACAAATGCAAAGCGAGAAAAGTCGGATCGTTATTGTCGATTCCATAAGGACAGAGGGCATACTACGGAGGAATGTGCACAACTCAAAGTAGCGATTGAGAGGCTGATCAAACAGGGCCATTTAGGCGAATACATTGATAAGCCTCGAAATAAGCGCCGTGATGATCCTCCACGCCGAGATAACAATCGAGATCAACAAAAAAGACGAGAGGATGGGGGTCATCGACACGACCCAGATAAAAATGATAACCAACCTACTCGGGGAATCATCTCCTTTATCTCCGGAGGACCGGCAGGTGGCGATTCACAAAACGCAAGACGCACCCTCGCTCGATCGGCACGTATGAATCAAGAATGTGATTCTCCATCTGCACGTATCTATCAAATACGAAGACCTGATCATAGCATAGTCTTCAACTCCTCAGATCTTGACGGCCCAGATGAAGATCATATCGATGCGTTGGTAGTAACAACGGTGGTCAACTTCTTGGTTAAGAAGATATTGGTGGACGGTGGGAGCTCAGCCGACATTATGTACCTTCTCGCTTTTAAGCAGCTGGGCATAGATAAAGCCCGTTTTAGTCCCATCTTCACGCCCCTGAAAGGATTCACAGGAGAGGGCATTTTGTCCATGGGAGAAGTAGAGCTGCCCGTCTCTTTAGGGGAAGACCCTTGTCGAATCACCAAGCTAATCAAATTCCTAATTGTCGACAAGCCATCTCCCTACAATATCATCTTAGGGAGGCCAGCAATCCATACATTCAAGTCCGTACCTTGCTCCTACCATCAGAAGTGGAAATTCCCTACTCCCTATGGAATGGGGGAAGTACTTGGAGATAGACGTCTCGCCCGAGAGTGCTATGCAAGGGCCTTACGAGAACCTTCCAAGAAGCCTAAACCATCCAAAGGGGGAGACGACACCCAAAAATCCGACAAACGGAAGTGGGTCAATGCGATCATTGAGGACAATAAAGAAATCCTCATCAGTGTGCCAGACGATAGCATCAAGCTAGCGGCTGTCGAATAGCTTAAGCTCATAGAGATCACACCTGGAGATGATTCCAAACTCCTACGTATCGGATCCGATTTAGATCCTGAGGTGGAGAAGCAATTAGTCAAATTCTTGCAGCACAATGAAGACGTGTTCGCTTGGAAAGCTCAAGATTTGTCGGGCATTCCCCCTCATGTAGCTCTACATCGGCTTAACATCGACAAAAGTTTGAAGCCGATCAAACAAAGGAAACGAACAGTCGGACCCGAACGCAACAAGCACATCAAGGCAGAAGTGGTGAAACTTCTCGAGGCGGGTCATATACGACCAGTTCAGTATCCTGAATGGTTGTCGAACGTAGTACTCGTTCCCAAACCCGGGGGAAAGTGGAGGTTATGCGTGGATTTCACTGAACTCAACAAAGCTTGCCCTAAGGACCCATTTCCTTTACCTAGAATCGACCAACTCATCGATTCAACTTCGGGATGTGAGCTCCTCAGCTTCCTTGACGCTTATCAAGGGTATAACCAAATCTTGCTCGCACCAGAAGATCAAGAGAGGGCTAGCTTCGTCACAGACCAAGGCATCTACTGCTATCAAGTCATGCCTTTCGGATTAAAAAATGTGGGAGCCACTTACCAACGTCTAGTGAACGCCATATTCGCAGATCAGATCGGTAAGAATATGGAGGTGTATATCGACGACATGCTCGTCAAAAGTGTCAAGGTCTCGGACCACCTAACTGATCTGGATCAATGTTTCGCCACCCTGTGAAAATATAAGATGAAGCTCAAACCCCTCAAATGTTCATTCGGAGTTCGGGGAGGAAAATTTTTAGGTTATATGATTTCGCAGCGAGGAATCGAAGCTAATCCCGTGAAAATCGAAGCAATCACCTCCATGGCTCCACCAAGATCGATCAAGAAAGTTCAACAGCTCAACGGCTGTTTGGCATCCTTGAACAGATTCATTTCAAGATCAGCGGACAAGGTTCTCCCCTTTTTCAAGATTTTAAGGGGAGGAAAAAAGTTCGAGTGGGATGAGGCATGTCAAAAAGCCTTCACTAAGCTAAAGTCATATCTCGCATCACCACCCTTGCTTACAAAACCTCAGCCGGGAGACACCCTCATGCTGTACTTAGCTACCTCAGTTGATGTCGTCAGCGCAGTCCTCATCCGAGATGGAGGAAAAGTCCACCAACCCATATATTACATAAGTCGCGCCCTCCAAGGAGCCGAGCAACACTATACCAACATGGAGAAACTCGCTCTCGCCCTCATCAACGCAGCTCGGAAGCTTGGACCTTACTTCCAGTCACATCAAGTGGTGGTTCTCACCAATTACCCTCTGAAGCAAATAATAAGGAGTCCTGAGACATCCAGGCGATTAGAAAAATGGGCGATAGAGCTAAGCGAATATGGGGTCGAATTCAAACCTCGCCCCGCTATCAAAGCGCAAGTATTAGCTGATTTTCTAGTCGAAATGACTTCAGTAGAAGAAAGACCTCTCTACCTACTTGGTCTGTCAACGTCGATAGATCTTCCACTGCCACCGGAGATGGAGCAGGTATCGTCCTAACGAACCCTGACGGAGACGAGTTCGAATATGCTCAACGATTCGATTCACAGCCTCAAACAACGTCGCTGAATACGACGCACTGATAGCGGGAATCCGCCTCGCCCTAGCAGCCGGAGAGCGCAAGCTCCTAATCCAAAGCGACTCTCAGCTCGTCTTTAACCAAGTACTTGGAGTTTACGAGGCCAAAGAAGACACCATGGCCAAATACTTAGCTCTCGCGCACACTCTCTTATCTAAATTCGAGAGCTGCGAGATAAGACAAGTACCTCGCTCCAATAACATCCATGCTGACAAATTAGCTAGGCTGGGAAGCTCCATGGCCAGCATCGGAAGTCGGAAGGTGACGCTCCTCACCTCACCTCAGCTGGAGATAACTTCACCCAATGAAGTACAGTACACCGAGGAGGATGAACCATGCTGGTTCACTTCAATCCTGAAGTATCTCAAGAAGGGGGAACTTCCAACGGATCCCACTGAAGCACGGAAGTTGAAAACGAGAGCCGCCCGATTCATTATAGTGGGAGAAGAATTGTACAAACGAGGTTTCTCATTCCCCTATCTCAAATGCCTCGACCCGACCCAGCGGATTACGTACTTAGAGAAGTACACGAAGGCATTTACGGCAATCACTTGAGCGGGAGAACCTTAGCTCTTAAACTACTGAGGCAAGGCTACTATTGGCCAACAATGCATGAAGACGCGAAGAAATTAGTCCGGAAGTGTAAGCCCTGCCAAGAGCATGCCAATATCCCTCATTTACCAGCGGCATTAATGCAACCGATTGACAGCCCCATCCCTTTCGCCCAATGGGGAATGGATTTAGTTGGACCATTCCCGCCCGCCACGAGAGGACGCAAATACCTCATTGTAGCAGTGAACTACTTCACCAAATGGGTGGAAGCTGAAACCTTAGCACACATCCGAGAAGAAGAAGTCATCCAATTCCTATGGAAGAACATCGTATGTCGCTTTGGGATCCCACGTTCCATTATCAGATAACGGAACACAATTTTGCGGTGACAAAGTAAAGAATTGGTGCCTTGGCTTAGACATCAAACAGTTTTTCACATCCGTAGTCAATCCACAGACTAACGGCCAGACGAAGGTCACGAATCGCACCATACTCCAACAACTTAAGACAAGGCTTGGAAGTGCCAAAGGGAAGTGGGTGGAAGAATTGCCTAACGCACTATGGGCTTATCGCACAACTCCACGAGCAGCAACCGGAGAGTCGCCCTTCAATCTAGCTTTCGGAACAGAAGCTATCGCACCCGTCGAAATCGGAGAACCATCATGGAGAATCACCAACTATGATCCAGCAGCTAACGAAGAAGCTATGCGGGGAAGCCTAGACCTCGTGGATGAGTTACGTGAGATTGGATACATCCGACAACAGATGTATAAATCACGCATGGCCAAGGCCTATAACTCAAAGGTCCGCCCTCGCTCCTTTCAAGTTGGAGATTTAGTCCTCCGAAAAGCTGAAGCCTCTCACCCCATCGGTAAGCTCGACCCAAAGTGGGAAGGACCATATAAAATCACAAAAGTGGTCAACACCGGAGCATATCGCCTCGAGAACATTGACGGCCACCCTATACCCAGAACATGGAATATAGGGAACCTCAAACGGTTCTATGCTTAAGGTATACGTCTACCTTACTTAAGATCCGTTGAAGTCACCACCCATACCCCTCCTATATGAAAGTTACTAGTTACTTACAAATTGTTATCCCTGCAGGCTCCGCGATCTTCCACGTCACTCGTCTTGTAAGGCTGTTCCTACATGCTTGAAAATTTTCTACCACATAACGAGGTGCGTCAATATCCTACCTAAGTTGGGGGGCTAGTAAATTTACATACATCAGAAATTCATATTCACATCTCACCATCTTATTAGAGATTGAGAACCAATTACGAGAGGATGCATATTGCTCAATCAATGGCCCAAAGAGCGAAGACACTGTTGGGGATCGTGCATGTATACGCAGCGGAATTTAAAATTTTATATCGAACTAGTTTCGATTACATGCATAAACTAATCACATAGTCAACGCACCTTAACGCTTCCGCCATACATATGGTAATTATCGATTTAATTGAAAAACACGTAAAACCGAAAATTACGAAACATGCTTATTCATCATTCAATAAAATCGAAACACGTAATCACATATTACTCATAATCATAAATTATAATTCATAAAAACATGCTCGAATTAATTTACGAAAGTTTCGATTTCTTTACCTCTTGTAGCGTGAGATTTCGACGAATCGAAACCTAGAACAAATCACGTACAAGCTGCAAATTACCAATTCTTGGGGCTGCAACTCCCGGCTGGAACAAGCTGATCCAGCAAGCGACGAACGGCGGTGAATGGCAGCAGCAGCGGCGGCGCGTGAGCGGCGTAGCGGCGCGTGCGGCGGTGCAGCGGCGGTGCGTGGATTCGTCGGGGCAGCAGCTTCTCTCCAATTAGGTTTCACCTCGTATTTTCGACCCACTCGAACTACAGCACTAGATGTAAACGAGTTAGATAAACAACAAGTAAAACGAATGAGAAGAGAGGAGAAAACCGGCCGTTTTCCGGCGGTGGTCGGCGGTGGTGCGGCAGAGCAGCAACGGCCGAAGGGGAGAGCGGCTAGGGCTTGGGCGGCTAGGGTTTGGTCCAGAAAATCTTATCTCAAACTCCTGTTTGAGGTCTTATACTTAGGTTTTTCAACCCTAGTGGGTTTAAATCATTGGGCTTGACCCACTGATGTATAAAGCCCATTCCCTCGCCGGCCTCGTTTCTAATAAACGATCGTCCACAAAATTATAACAAAATTATATTTGTGACGAGCTCAAAGTCCTCGTCGATACGAGTGCCTCTTCGAAATTTCCAATTTCTAAAATTGGAAACTTCCACTTCAGTGGACTTGCTAAATCGGGAAACTTCCCAATTTAGAAAGTTCACCGAATTCCGCATGTCTCTCTTTCTCCACGTTTATTCCGATTCGCAATCCACAATTACGAATCTTGGATTCAATCATATCGACATCCAATCATTCAAAGATTAACACATTAATCTATGCTTGTTGTTATCAAGGATCTATATTACACGAGAAGTGTGACCCTCAATGGTTCAGGTGTATGCTAGCCGTGGGCTCACAACTCTTTGTGATTCGAACAACACATTGTTCTTATACGAACTCCTCCCAAGAGTCCCGATTAGAGTAAAACTCATTTTACCTAATCCCCGATCAAATCGGTGCCCAACGAATCAAGATTGGCGTCTAGCAACTACGCATCATGATTCCCTAGATACAAGTGAAGTGCCTGCAAGAACCTTATGATATAGTTAGCGTGCAGTACGATCCCTTCGCAGCACATGTCCCGATTGAACTAGAGGCATTGGTTCACCGAGACCTCTTATAAAGTTCAATAACCGTGCGAAGGTTCTAGGTATTATAAATCCGTTCGTGTGCGACTTAGGGAAACACATTTCCCTAATAACCCCACTATCAACTCTGGCCAGAGATTCCTTGGATTATAAACCGTCAGAACACACAGGACATCCATGACTACTCAAGCGCTCGAATCCCCTACTACAATGCACAAACTTCACACTAGATTTCGGATTGCACGAACATTGGCCCTTGGAGTGGTCCGCTGTGGGACTCAGGGACAGGTCACGATACAATCAGTCCTCGAGTGAAGTCACGGTGATGTCTGGGTCTTAAGGACTAATGGTGTACAACTATATCTTAGAAACCTATTACTCGATGAATGAGAACCACTTATAGATTTCTAGGGCGAGGGAGTTCAGTGAACTCATCCAGTATGAGCACCCACTCAAGTATGCCGATTTTCACAACACCGAGGACTGATGAGACGCAATACACATACACTAAGTGCTAGTCTCAAAAGGGAATGGCCGGTATCCTCATTATTGGCGTAACCCATCGACTAGGAACAAGGTTTAACAGTTACATTACATTGCGGAGTTATCTCACGATTCTACTAGATCAACTCACAGTAATAGAGTAACTCGTTAGGACTATATCTATGCTGCTTGCATGGGATAACAGATATAGAATGCCAAATGAAATATTTTATTATTACGAACGAAAAACGATTGTTTTATTACAAGGATAAAGAGAAGGACCACAGCCACAAGTTGGCTTGTTGGTCACCTACTCTAACAGACACCCCATACCAC